GCGTGTGCCGGCAATTGACCACCCAGTAGCTGCGGTTAACCGCAGCTTAATTGACTGTTACTGGGTGGTCGCGGTTACACCTAGCCGCCACATGATGGCGATGTTCTGGAGCTCCCCGGGCAGCCAGCGCTTTTCTGCCCGGCTTTCCTACGCCAAATCTGGACACTGTGTCAGCTAAGCACCGCTGAGCCTCCAGCCCCTGGTTCTGATTCGTACCAATTTAACAAATGTATGTAGATTCGGTATTTTGTGTTGGGGGAATGTTTTAACCCAGATAGCTATGCCATGGAGCCTATTCGTGTAATTAAAGACTTTGGCTCCATGGCGATTAAACTGTATTCGTGTGGTCTGAGTGCCATTCACTTAATAATGTGCGCTCAGACCTGAGCTATCTGGTGATATGTTACATGTCTGTGTTTTATGTAGTAAATGTTACTTTATATATTTTAAAGTATAATACTGGTTTTGTGTCCCCACATGTGTAATGGAGTTTTGCCTTTGTCTTGGGAGATAATTGAGTTACTTCTCAATTATCTCCCAGGGCAGAGGGGAGGAAGCCAGGATGCATTGTGGGAATATAATGTGACTGTGTGTCCTATTTGTCTACTTTAGGTCAACTACACAAAGTTTTTACAAATAAAATGCAGAATTAACAAAAGTAAAATGTTTAATATAACACTCAAATTGTGAATTTAAGTGTTCGATACATTGAAAACATCCACTTTTAAATTGCAAACTGACTGCGATTGAAACATAGAAACTATACAGTTATTGCTTAGGGCTGAATAACAGCAGACAGAATTATAACAAAGTTAACTGACAGATTTCCTTGAGGGACACACTACTATTTAAAGGTAAATACAATTATCACATTTTGATTGTTATGAATTATTCAGTATGCCTGAAGAAACTCACCTGGGGTCGGATTCAATATTCCTCAAGAATGAAAAATAGGCAACGGCAAAGCTATTGTATGTTTTGGCATTTAAAGCATAGATATCTAAGTGTTCACTCAAAACACATGCTGAGCAATGGGGCTGAAAGTAGCAACAACCATTCAATGTGTTACTGTAAGGCTTAGTGAGGTAAAAAATGCCTACAAAAACATTGTGCATTTTGTGCCACCATCTTGACTGTGTAAAGCAGGCTTCTCACACACTAAAACGGCTGAAAAAAAACTCTACATCATGGTCCCAGCAGTATACTGCCAGAATTTCCTAAATTTAATTACATAAAGCAGCATGGCATTTTTTTTTCTTTCAGTTTTCCTTTCCTTATGCCCCCTGTGTCTTAATGATTATACTTCCCACTTGCCGCTTCTCTTTATTTATATTTATTATATTTTTTTATTTCTTCCTTCTGCCACGTCTCAGTATCCACTGACAGTGACACTACACATATATTCACACATAACACTTACATGTCCTCTTCGGTAACTCATTTCTCAACTCAAAATACTTTTTGCATGGCTAGGCAACCTTTGGCACTCCAGTTGCTGTGGGCCTCTGAGCTATTGTTTTCTATAAGGCATTAGGCATGGGAAACATTTTCGGTTCGGCATTCTGAAATTCAGGACTTCCGCAATTCGGCACTTCGACACTTTGGAACTATACCTCGAGTAGGGGTATGTCAATTAAACTGGCTGCTCACTGTTAAAAAAAAAAAAAGGGTCCCCCCTCCTGACTAAAGGGAGGGGGGCTATTGCCCCCCCCAGCCCCCACCCCTGAGCGGCGGGTGGATCTCTAAAGTAAAATGATGGGGGGGACCTATTGTTCTCCCCCCCCCCCGACCCCCACCCATGAGCGGCGGGTGGGGGCCCTAAATCAGAATAAGGGGGAGGACCTATTGTCCTCCCCCCTGGCCCCCACCCCTGTACCTTGAATTGACTCCTATAGCATACAGGAAGCCAATGTAAGGCCTGACAGAGGGGTGAGGTGTGAGAGAACCGACTAGAGAGGAAAATCAGTCTGGCGGCAGCATTCATTATGGACTGTAGCGGTGCAGTACGGCTTTTGGGAAGACCAATCAGCAGAGGGTTACAATAATCCATGCGGGAAATTACTAGAGCATGGACAAGCTACTTGGTAGCATCTTGCGTAAGAAATTTGTACATATATATTTATTAACATATAGAGTATATTGTATATTTGCCACAAAGACTGTACATTAGTTAGTGCCCAATTAGCTATCGATACAATGAGGGGAAAAAGTATTTGATTCCCTGCTGATTTGAAAGTTTGTCCATTGACAAAAAAATGATCAGTCTATAATGTTAATGGTAAGTGTATTTTAACAGTGAGAGACAGAATAACAAAAAAAAAATAATCCAGAAATACGCATGTCAAAAAAGTTATAAATTGATTTGCATGACAATGAGTGAAATAAGTATTTGATCCCCTATCAATCAGCAGGATTTCTGGCACCCAGGAGTCTTTTATACAGGTAACGAGCTGAGATTAGGAGCACTCTCTTAAAGGGAATGCTCCTAATCTCAGCTCGTTACCTGTATAAAAGACACCTGTCCACAGAAGCAATCAATCAGATTCAAAACTCTCCACCATGGCCAAGACCAAAGAGCTGTCCAAGGATGTCAGGGATAAGATTGTAGACCTACACAAGGTTGGAATGGGCTACAAGACCATCGTCAAGCAGCTTGGTGAGAAGGTGACAACAGTTGGTGCGATTATTCGCAAATGGAAGAAACACAAAATAATTGTCATTCTCCCTTGATCTGGTGCTCCATGCAAGATCTCACCTCGTGGAGTTTCAATGATCATGAGAACAGTAAGGAATCAGCCCAGAACTACACGGCAGGACCTTGTTAATGATCTCAAGGCAGCTGGGACCATAGTTACCAAGAAAACAATTGGTAACACACTATGCCGTGAAGGACTGAAATCCTGCAAAGCCTGCAAGGTCCCCCTGCTCAAGAAAGCACATGTACAGGCTGTCTGAAGTTTGCCAATGATCATCTGAATGATTCAGAGGAGAACTGGGTGAAAGTGTTGTGGTCAGATAAGACCAAAATCTAGCTTTTTGGCATCAACTCAACTCACCGTGTTTGAAGGAGGAGGAATGCTGCCTATGACTCCAAAAAACACCATCCCCACCATCAAACATGGAGATGGAAACATAACGCTTTGGGTGTGTTTTTCTGCTAAAGGGACAGGACAACTGCATTGCATCAAAAGGACAATGGACGGGCCATGTACCGTCAAATCTTAGGTGAGAACCTCCTTCCCTCAGCCAGGGCATTGAAAATGGGTCCTAGATAGGTATTCCAGCATGATAATGACCCAAAACACACAGCCAAGGCAACAAAGGAGTGGCTCAAGAAGAAGCACATTGGAGTGGCCTAGCCAGTCTCCAGGCCTTAATCCCATAGAAAATCTGTCAAGGGAGCTGAAGGTTCTAGTTGCCAAATGCAGCCTCAAAACTTTAATGACTTGGAGACAATCTGCAAAGAGGAGTGGGATGAAATCCCACCTGAGATGTGTGCAAACCTGGTGGCCAACTACAAGAAACGTCTGACTGACAGAATTTACTGATGTCAAATACATTTTTATATATGAATAAAATCAGTGGAAATCATTGTTGTCTACTACTGAAGGTGTAACCTAAATAGATATATGAAGCAACCTACATCATGATATGCAAAGCAATGACATTTGTTTGTCTTGAGTGACATCCTTTATATGAATGTCCATTTGACACATACCTCTAGTAAAAATATTAGCCCAGGTGAGTAGAAATGCACTCCTGGTGAGTGTATCATGGACCTTCCAAGCTTTTAGTGGCAAGTAACTCTTAAAGGGATCCTGTAGCAGTCAAAACAACTTAGCATAATGAATCAGTTTTGATGTATAGACCATGACTTTGCAGTCTCGCTGCTCAATTTTATGTCAAGACACGGAGGCTCATATTGCTTAACCCTTTCTTTACTGTCCACCAATAGCAGCAAAGAATAGAACAGTAAGAAAAAATGGTAACCATAGTGATAGGCCACTCCCATACCAAGTCCCATTATAATAGCCAGCACCTTCCCACACATTTCCTCTTTCTTTGCTGCTCCGAACAAAGATAAGTACATGACAAATTTTCTCTCATACATACTGACTGTTCTCTTATTGATTTCTGGTTATTTATATCATTTATTTATTATTTAAGTTTCTATTGTTTCTTTTGTTGATAGATTCTTTTTTGCCTTAATTTATCTGGTTGTTAAGGATTTTTTCTCTGTGCTTTTTTCATGCTTGTTTAATACTATATATTATGTTGGTTAACTTTGAGCCCAGGGTTCCAGACCTTCCTTATGTTTCTTTTTGTGTGTATTATCCATTCTTATCCATTTGCTTCTTACTTGTTTGCTATCTTATCTCCTTATCTCTTCCACGCTGCCTTTGGCTCCATTTTCTCCCTCTCTACCGTTTATTTGGTGCCCTTTTGCGCCTGTTCATGCCATTCTGTTCAGCTGTTTTCGTGAAAGAATTCTAGCCCATTCAGCAAATTCTTCATGAACACATACTGTTCGTTAGTTTTTTCTTCACTTACCTTATTCGTTTGTTTTGCTGCGTTCAACTAAATTTTATTCAAACGTCCAGTGCATTCACCTGTTTCCTATTCATTCCTTTCGTCTATTTGTCCCATTGAATTAGTCTCTTTTTTGCAGAACGTTCGGTTCTTTAACTTGACAAATTCACTGAATTTTGATGCGAATCTCGTGAGATTGCCGTCGGCCATTTTCCGACTTCCTGTCTCTCTGCCTTTGTGCGTGCTGGTCTGGACCCTGGTGAGCTCCCTTACTATACTCTCCTAGGTTATAACTAGTTTGGGGTGATTAACTCCTGCTTGTCTCCTCTACTCTGATTTTATTCCTATCCCATACAGTTATCTGCTTACATAATTTTTTTTATATAATTTTATACTTTTATTGGGGAATATCTCACAGCACTACCATGCCCAGATCTAAAGTGCCTGCCAGCCCCTCCTCCCCTAGGGAGATAGACATACCCCAGGTTTATTCTGATTCCCCTTCTTCTGCTGGGGACCCTATGTCCCTGATTGATGAGACCCAGTACCTGGCACTACCTGGCGTCCCTACCTACAGCAACATGGAGCTAGCAAGACCCTGGACAGCAGCCAGTGAATTGCAAATCCGCCTGTCACAGTGCTATGAGGGTGCTGATTTCATGAAGGAAGTAAAGGCGCGGCTGGTCTGGTTTGGCCCAAACCCTTCAGATGAGGTGGTCCATCAAGTGATGCACCAGTTGAGTGCTGAGAACCAAGACGCACAGAACTATGAGTACCAACTGTGGATTTTGGTGGTATTGACACCCCGTCTCCAGCGACAGAGTGAGTTACAGGGAGAGGAGAGCAGCGACCTCCCTTCCCAGCGGCAGTGCACCATACAGAGGGAAGAGACAACAGGTCTCTCTCCCCAGCGGCGGCCTGAGTTCCAGGAGGAGGTGATGGTAGATCCCTCCCCCGTACAGCAACCAGCGTCCTGGGGAGGGGAGGCAATCGGCCTCCCTCTCCAACAGCAGCCGGAGGTGGGCGACCTCATAGACTTGTCCTGGGGACACACAGAGATGGCAAGCGGAGATGGGACCGAAGTCTCTCTGCCAGCCCTATAGGGATGCTGGGCAGTCAGCCCAGGTCCCCAGCGGCAGTATAATATACAGGGAGAGGAGACAACTGGTCTCTCTCCCCAGCGGCGGCCTGAGTTCCAGGAGGAGGTGATGGTCGATCCCTCCACCTTACAGCAACCAGCGTTCTGGGGAGTGGGGGCAACCAGCCAGAGATACCGGGAGAGGGGGAAGACAAACCTAACCACACTGGCGCAGATGGGACCGCGGTCTCTGTGCCAGTCCTACAGGGAGGCTGGACGGGCGGTCCAGATCCCCAACCAACCCCACAGGGATGCCAGGAGGAGGAGGTAAGTGAAAGTTATGTATTTTTGTATCCTTTTGTGTTTTACTAGGAACATGTGCTCAATGGAGTCTGCTTCTATCCCTGGATAATTGGATTACTTTCCCCATTGTCTCCAGGCTAGAGGGCTCTGTAAAACCAGTTTGGGCCAGATAGCCATGCTGCCAGCCAGGCCCCAAAAGATACTTTGCTAACTTCTGAACCCCTGGTCTGATTCATGCCATTTTTTGATATGTTGTTTCCCTGAATGGATTGATTGTGATATATATAATTTTTATGTGAATGTGATGTATATTTTAGAAGTTATGAATGCTGTAAAAACTGTATTATTTCTGGCCAGCAGATAATTGAGCTTTGTGTATTGTAGAAACTCTATTATCTAGCCTGGCCCAGAGGAGGAGTTTTGTGTTGCATAAATTGTGAGTTCTGTGTGCCAGTAAATCAGTCTTGTCCCAGCATTAAGCCTTGGCTCATGTTTGGGGGATTGGAGAAATACACTCTGGGGATTGCTATAATCACTATACTCCCCAGGGTATGATCACTAAGTTCTGCTAGGAGCTTGTTCCTGTTCCTGCTCTCTGGGGAAAGAGAGGTTCACCCACTGGAAGCTGGATACTGGCCTTGGGTCCAGGGTGGGTGGAAACAGCAGAGACCCCGGCGCAGTTGCATCGCTGGAAGTGGGGTCTGCAGTGCTGATGGTGTCGGTTGGAGTGCTTGGAGTCCTCAGCGAGCACTAGGAGCATCGATTGGCGGAGGTACTCAGTCAGAGTGCCAGCGTTCCGTCACACTGAGGAATATCCCTTCCATCCTACCTATGCTTATTTACCTGAGCCAGTTTTATTTACAGGCTCATTTACATGTGAGTAGGATGCTATTTGTACATTAACACAGTGTGAATATCAGACAGCCTATATTGCCCTATGTGAGCTTTTATGTCTTATAGGTATCTCTGTGGATAAATCCATTTTTAAGTGTATGTATTTCTTGTTTACTGCACTTTTAAAACACTGTGCACCTATACTGTGTTTGTAGAGCGCTGAACCTCCTATTGTTGTAGTTTTTGTCTTTACTTTGTGGCATTTAGTGATTGATTCCACGGTTCTTAGGTGCACTACCTTATTACTAGCGCCACTTTTTATCACTTTTTTCTCTTTTTGCATTCTTTGTATCAATTATGATCAGCATGACACTGAGAACAAAGTCAGACAGGTAAAGCCACAGGAGAATGGATTCTGTAGTCTGTGGGTTTTTTTTTTATAAAAAAGTGTTTTATTCCTTATATGCTTTATATTTAATTCAAAATGAGTCAGTTTTGCTTTCAAGGCAGATCTGCTCTAATTAATTATTTGGTAGAAAGTCAACAATAATCTGAAATGGCTTGTTTTACTAACCATTTGCATGCCTGTAAAAGAAAATTTGAGTTACTTAACATTTGGAACAGTTGGCTGAGTATTTGTCTAAAAGCCAATGTTTCTAGCAGTTATATATTTGTTCACTGTAAACACTAGTTAGGGACAACTGATGAGCTTCACAGATGGAGAGGCATAAGACTGCCAAACTGATATTTTTTCTTCAGCTTTCAAAAGAGGTCATTTTTTTAATGACATTTTAATTTGAGAAATCAAAAGGAAACATTCAATTGCACTAAAAGTGCACATTTAGATAGAAGAATAAAAATAAATGATCTTAAATGTTTTATTTCTAAAATCTATAGTTTACTTATTATGCAACAATGATGCTTAAAAAAAAAAAACAGAACAATTGCAAT